AATACTGATCCAACCCCAAAAATGGCCATCTCTTTGGTCTGCAGACACTGTGTGACCTGTAATGTGTGTGTGTGTTGTGGTTGGCTGATCAGAACATATTCTGTATGTGGCTTTCTATATCATCGTAAAATAAAAATCTCACAGGAAAACACTGCTTAACACAGGAAGTGGACAGCTGTATATCAAGGAGCACAGAGTGCACAGAACTACAATATGCCATACCTCACTATTAAACAGCTGCCTGCATTTTATAAACACAGTACATCTGCCCTTACAATTTTTTTTAGCCCTCATGCAAATTCCCACAATTATCTGTTGATCCTGCCAGTGAAGTCTAACTAATGCAGTTTCATGTGATGGCAACGATTCTGCACTGCTCCTTAATTCAGAGCAGGGTTGCCACTCTCATGTTGACTGTGCTTGCTTGTACTACAATGGGATAAAAAAAAAAAATTAGCTACTGGAAGTGTCACGATTTATTCATAAGCCTGTAGCTAGTCAATCAGCATCTGGCCACACCTAGTCCTACCCACTAGAAAGTAACCAAGTAAACAACACCTAGTCCTGCCCACTAGTAAGTAACCTAGTAAACAACACCTAGTCCTGCCCACTAGTAAGTAACCTAGTAAACAACACCTAGTCCTGCCCACTAGTAACCTAGTAAACAACACCTAGTCCTGCCCACTAGTAACCTAATAAACAAGTAAGTAACCTAATAAACAAGTAAGTAACCTAGTAAACAACACCTAGTCCTGCCCACTAGTAAGTAACCCAGTAAACAACACCTAGTCCTGCCCACTAGTAACCTAGTAAACACCTAGTCCTGCCCACTAGTAACCTAGTAAACAACACCTAGTCCTGCCCAGTGCTTTTTTTTATTGGCACCACTGTGTCAAATACGGAAATCCTCCCACTGAGCTGCAGTGTTTGGGAGGGGGAACACGTGAGACACAAAGGTAGGAGGATTTAGCTCAGTCAAAGAAGGTAAAATAAAGTTTTCGGTTTACTTTATGAGGCTTGAGCATCATATCGTTACTGGATTTTGTAGTTTTTTTTGTCATACAGGTGCCTTAAGATGTACTTTAAGTATATGATTCTACTGATATATTTTTATAATTTCTTTCCATATTGTGTTTTTAGCCATATTAGTGCACTTGCAACAAAAACTGTCTTTTTTTTTTTATTTGCACTAACATCCAAATTTTCAGGACAAACTTTTAGGGTGTACCCCCTAAACCCCAAAAGCTTGTGCTGAAAATGTGGATGTTAGTGCAAATAATGCACTGTACACAATTGTTTTAGAATTTTTCTAAAAATGACACACAAACAGAGGCCCAAGGTGGTGACACTGACCAGTCCTCAGGAGAACACAATCCATTTCATAGTTGAAAAGAGCAGCAGCATGAGGACCAAGAAAGTGTACTATGTGAATGCTCTGTGTGTGAAGCTGCTGCCAAAACTTGCCCTCTGCTCCCTGCACATATTGGCCAGTGAAGCTGCCCACCAGAGTAATGGGCCAATAGAAATGTGTGGGTGCAGAACTCGGCTACAGTGGGGAAAATATTTCTTTGATCCCCTGCAGATTTGTACATTTGCCCACATACAAAGGAATGAAGGGTCTATCATTTTTATCATAGGTGTATTTTAAATTATAGAGACAGCTCTTTGGTCATGCCCATGATGGTGATGAAGAAAGATTCTGTGATTAGGTGTCTTTTATACACATTACGAGTTGTTAGTAGCACCTAAGATAGGTCGCCAACTGTGAAAGGTACCACTCATAGAACAGAATGCTGCCTCGGATGTCCCCGGAACTCACGCACCAGAAATGATGTTGCCGCACACCAGAAGTGATATCAGTGAAGCACAAATACCAGCATATGGACGTTGATGGATGGACAGAGAAGCCAAAGTGCCTGGGGCAAACCACAACAAGAGCTGGTTGCTATGACGTCATGTTTCGCACAGATACGTGCTTTGTCAAACTGCCGGGTTTCTGGGCTTCATTAATGTCACTTCCGACGCGCGAGTTCTGGGGACATCCAAGGCAGCATCCTGGTCTGTGAGTGGTAGCTTCTCACAGATGACCTATCTTCCAGCAGAGCAGCTCACAGGATTCCTCTCCACCGCCTCCTGCACCCTTGTCTGGATGTACCGGTTTCCTCAGCAGTAAGCCAATTTTATTGACCACATCCACACATTTGGGCTTTACCACCCATCGTTTCCTTCATTTACATTGGACATATGACTGTGAACAATGGTTTTAATTCCTTTCAAGTAGATAATAAAATCCTTTTTTACATCCTTGCTAATTTTTAAAACTTTACTGGTCAATATTAATTTGGCCCTATACCAACAGTGTTCAGTATCAGCTACGAGTCAAACAATCCCCCTCTTCTGGATCCCTATGAGTTGTTGTCCACTTCTCACAGCCATTTGGTTTCACTGCCAACATCATCTTCCCTAGCAGTATATGAAAGAACACATATCCGGCATCCCTTAGACATGCATACTCCTTTGGGTGGTGCAGACTTTAGCTGTGCAAACTGCAGATCAGTTGCTTGAATACAAATCAAGCAACTGATGCACAGTTTGCACAGCTAAAGTATGCAGCACCCAGGGAGGAACATGCACATCTGAAGGTTTGTTTAAGATTTTTATACTATAATAAATTATACAAACCAACAGTCTACAAACTTTTAAACTGTCAAAAATTACAATAAAAGTGATCAAAATAGTTACCCAATAAATGATCTTACACCTAGAATATTTTTGACAATAAGGAGTCCATGTGTGGGCCATCACCTACTTTTAAGGCCAAACGATACTGACCAGCTTGAATGGAAGAAGCAATTTTAGGAGAGTTGCATGCAATCATTAATATGACTCTTATATTCCAATGGCCTGTGCTCATATGTGGGTTTGGCTATTACCATGGGTGGTCAAATATATTCCAGGTCAAGCCATCTGGATTTGACAATGACAAGTATCTGGAAGCCCAATATGATGGTGTATGCAACAGTCAGCATGGCTAATAAGGCCTATTATTATGTTAGGACACCACAGGCAGTTTTATTTTGTTCTTCCCATGCCTTAAAACATTTGGAGCTGCATCATTTCTATCCCCTCCTCCTGTTTCTGTGTTGCCCTATGCCACAGCCTGTGTTGCCTTCCCACAGGTTTGCACAGGACAAATAATCTGTAGCAAGACGACAAGACCTTACATCATGTTTTACAATGTCAAACCTCACCACAGCAGCGATTATAGTTTACAAGTGGGAACCCTGCATGGATTTTCATATTACTTAAGACAATAACCCATTTGACAACCGCACCCCACCCTTGCCATCTGATCTAATATTTACATGGCATTAAGGGGTGTTTTTATAAATATTAAATATCTTTTGGCACCTTTAAGTCATCTTTATATGTGGTCTCTTTATGTGTATCATCCATAGAGCTTTGACTTTGTATTTTGTTTTTAAACAGAGACTAGAAGGATTAACACTTTTTCTTTTTGCTTTTTATTGTGGACGATGGTCTGTCTGGGAGATTTCTCTTCCTACCTATCCCGATGACAGTTTTCATGGGAAGAGTGAATTTAGGGAACATGAACAGCAGATAATGTTTTGTTTTTATACAGTTAGAACAAGCATGTCAGGCTCAATAAAACAAGGGGCTGGAATAAGTAATAAAACTGTGAAAGTGACAGTTTCAGGCCTGCACCTAACAATGTACATTAATATGGCCTTTTCAGTAAGTCTCCATTATTATGTTCCCATAACAATATACAATAACAGTGTCGTTTTTCATAACATCTCTACCTTTTCACCATAAGGGCCGGTTCACACCATGCCTGCACATGAATCGTATAACGCACTGTGTTTTCCAGTGCAATTCAGACCGCAAGCAAAACGCACTCCATTTGCGATCTGCAGAGGGTGTCAATACAGAGTTCATGAGACCCCAAACGCAGATCTGCCCGCACCAGATTGCATAGTACTTTTGTACCCTGCAATCCGGTTGCTGTGCATTTCAGAACGTTGTGCATGCTCTACTTTTTGCGTGGTGCCATTGTAGCCTATTCAAAATGAACGGTCTGAAATCGCTCTGCACAGAACCGCATGAGAATCGAACAGTGCACTCCTGTGCTGACATGGTGTGAACCGGCCGTAAAAAAAAATTGTTAGGCACCAGCCAGGTGATTTTGCTTGGCTGTCATCAGTCTGCAGCAGGCAGGAGGAAGCATTTTCAATCCTCCCTTCCTCTAGCAATCAGACAGTAACATTGCAACTTTGTAGCAAGTTACAAGGCATTCAGGTCCCGCTACACGATTTTCATAGCGTGATTCTGTGTTGCTGCAAAGGGCCAGCACATTCACTTGAAAGGGGTGCCCTATGTGCATTTGTTGCTCAAGAAAAAGCTCCTGCTCCTTTTCGGGCGAGAAGCTTCACACAATTTTTAAAGGTGCAGTTGTGACAAATCACATCATGTTTGGGGAGCCATTGAAGTATAATGGCACCAAAACGCACACTGTGCATTTTGCAGTTACTGCCATGCAATTTGGAATTGCCGGCAGACACACGGTTATTCTGCCTATAATTCCAAATCGCGAAGTGTGATAAAATCTCAGGTTGCAGCAGGGGCTAATTTGTGTCAGACATTTGTACACCTAACCAGAATCTTAGCCCAGGAAGTAGATGCCTACACATTATAAATCCTGAACAAAGATGTTGCTATCTTTCTGGACATGAAAAAAAAAAAAACAGAGGAGAGCCCCACACAAGCTTGCGGAAAGCTTTGAAAAAAAAAAACCTTTCTATACACACTGCTCTTTCACATACTGAAGTGATATTTGCCAAAACTGTCATTACGTTTTATTAATCTGGGGTTAAGACTTTGTTCCCGGGATAAACTTCCAAAATGTTGAACTGTCCCTGGATATCTGACACAGGTGACAACTAGAGTGTTGAACATCGAATGATTCAAAAGTCTCTTACCTTCCGTAAAGCTCCCTATGAGGGTGATGGCAATAAACACTTTGCCTTCAGGCTCCAAATCAATCTGAAAAAAATAAACAAAACAATGTTTATATACACTGCAACTGATTGCTTGTCTGCTTACAACATATACAAACATCTTCTCTTGTTTTCCCCGTGTCACCTTCACGGGCCATGAGAGTCTTCTGTATGTTAGGATACAACAATGTCACATAGTTTGGAGTTTAAGTGACACCTTTAATCAAGACAACTCAAATGCATTAACTTTTCCAACCTGCACCCTGTGTTTTTCACCTGTGTGAGGCTTCATGTGTGCTGAGCAGAGAAAAAAAAAAGAGATTTGCTTTTACAGGTGTTTGGCGTTTAATTTTTCAGCCTGTAAACACACTTTTATGTTAGCCTGCATTTCAATGTGCCAGGACAAGGGGTGGGCTGAAGGGGCGACTGCCCTGGGCCCAATGGTTTGTTGTAGGGATGGGGGGCGCCTACCTTCTGTTACAAGACTGACAGTAGTAGTGATAGTGGCAGTTATTTCGACAAGCGAGTGGCTGCTGGGTATAGGATCCCCTAAGCCTGCACATCATGAACAGGGGGATGCAGTTTGGCATCTTTACTCTGGGTGTTGGATGACCCTGTCCTGGCACAGTTTAGAGGTGTTTTAGAAGAGGAGGAGTGTTTGGGCAAAAAAACATACAAAACGCACATTGGAATGCAAAAGTGAGTATTAATGTTCAACACATCTAGGCACGTTTGCATATTAACTGCTTGCCGACTGCCCTATAGCAGAAATACTGCTACAGGGTGGCAGCGGTGCGCAAAGTCACGTATATATACGTGATTTTGCATTTCCGGGTAAGGGGCGAGTGCGAGCTGTGCACGCACCCTATCGGCACCACCATTCATGGGCGCGGCTGTCAATAACCGGGCCCCGGCTGGTAATTACTCACCGGCACCCAGTGATTTCCGAGGATCTCCAACGGGGAGGAAGACTTTTGTTTACCAACAGTCCTCCTCCCTGTCAGCTCCGGCACACTGCTGTGGATGGTTGTGCACAGCACAGCCATCCACAGCAGTGTGATTACAGTTATTCACACACATCCCGCCCCCTAGTAAAACACTCCCAGCACACAGTTAACCCTTTGATCGCCCCTCATGTTAACCCCTTCCTGCCCGGTGCCATTAGTACAGTGTCAGTGCTTTTTTTTTCAGCACTGATCACTGTATTGGTGTCACTGGGGATGTCAGTGACACCAAGTCAGTTCCCCCCAATGTCAGAATGTCCACCGCAGTCCCGCTATAAGTCGCTGATCGCCGCCATTACTAGTAAACATGAAAAAAAAATTCCAGTATATATACCACTATTTGTAAACGCTATAACTTTCACACAAACCAATTTACACGTTCTGGGATTTTTGTTTTAGCAAAGACATGTATCAGAATACATTTTGACCTAAATTTATGATGAAATTTGATTTTTAATTTTTTTTTACTGGACACAGTCAAAAATATAGTTTTTTTCTCAAAATTGTTGGTCTTTTGTATTTATAGTGCAAAATATAAAATGCACAGGCGATCAAAAATGACCGAAAGAAAGATCAATTCGTGGGGGAAAAAAGAATGTAAATTTCATTTGGGTGCAGCGTTGCATGACCGCACAATTGTCAAATAAAGTAACACAGCGCTGCAACGCAAAAAGTGGCCTGGTCAGGAAGGGGGGTAAATCCTCAGAAGGGCAAGTGGTTAATGAATGCATGTCTGACAAAGAGGTCCTGCACGGCTCTGAAACATTGCACATTCTTCTAGGATGCGATCTTTTTACAATAAAAACCTCTGTGGACCATATTTGAAGATCCATGGCGTGCTGGCGAATCTGTACGTTTGCATATTAATGAATTCCAATGGTCAGAATTAACATTCTGATTCTGGTCTCCGCCCGAATCACACACCTGTTGGTCGACATATCAGACTGGATGTCGCTCCACTTCCTTAAACTGAACCTCTCCAAAACCGAGTTTCTTGTCTTCCCCCCAGCCCGGACACCACCCCCCATTGACTTCTCCATCATGTCCAACAACGCCACCATCAAACCCGCCCCGCAGGCCAGAATACTTTGTGTCATTTTGGACTCCAACCTATCCTTCCAGCCCCAAGTCCACTCTTTAACAAACTCGTGCAGACTCCACCTCCGCAACATCGCCAAAATACGCACGTTCCTAACTCCAGAAACCACTAAACAGCTCATCCACTCCCTCACGACTCGACTACTGCAACTCCCTCCTCACTGGCCTGCCTCGCCGCTGGCTATGCCCGCTTCAGTCCATCCTGAATACGGCTGCCAGACTCATTCACCTTTCCAACCGCTCCGTTTCCGCCACCCCTCTCTGCCAATCCCTCCACTGGCTTCCGATTGCGCAATGGATCAAATTCAAAATCCTAACACTGACGTACAAAGCTGTCCACCATACTGCCCCGAACTACATCACTGACCTAATATCCAAGTACCGCCCAGCACGCACACTCCGCTCCTCACAAGACCTCCTTCTCTCTAGTTCCCTGGTCTCCTCCTCCCATGCCCGCCTCCAGGACTTCTCCAGGGTGTCACCCATCCTCTGGAACTCCCTGCCCCAACCCATCAGATTATCACCTACTCTCCTCTCCTTTAGGTGCACCCTGAAAACCCATCTCTTCAGGGAAGCCTACCCTGCCCCCTGCTAACTTGCCGACCTCCTCCACTCTTCCTACCACTCCATCCCCCACAGCTATCTCCTCCTGTGCCACCATCCCCTCCCTCCTAGATTGTAAGCTCGAAAGAGCAGGGCCTTCAATCCCCTCATGTTTTGCATTGTATTGGTATTGTTCTGTCACATGTTCTGTCCCCCTCTGTAATGTACAGCGCTGAGCGAACTATTGGCGCTTTATAAATACTGTATAATAATAATAATAATATAATGCATTAATCCCAAATGTATGCAAACATGCATAATTGTCTTCAAATTGCATCTTTTGCCACTTTTTTAGGCAACTTTTCTCCTCCCAGGAGAAAGGGCAATTAGAGGAGCTGAGCAAACATTCAGTGTGCATGAGGCCTAAGATGTTCACAGCTTATAGTAGGGTAAACCTTTACATTCTGGGGTTAGAAGTTTCTGTTTGTGTTCATTCCCGCTACTCAGCACTCAGATTACACTCAGCCCCCTGCTCTATGTTGTGCAGTGTGTGCCATCAGATCCCTGCCCTCTGCCTTCTAAAGCTCAGAAATAGCCTTTGATCTGTGTACTTTGGATGCAGAAAAGTAAATTATATAAAGATTATATATATTGTATAAATCCTGAAGAAGGGATCTACAATATCCTGAAAACTTCTATATTTTATAACTTAAATGATTAAAAAAAAGGTATCACTTAAACTCCAAACTTTCTATATTAAATCAAAGGTTAAATGATACAATATCCTACTACACAACACATTCCAACAACCTGTTCTGTGCACTTGTTATCAGTTAGAACTGTGCATGCCAATACATCATGGCCAACACATGGGAGACTGCACACCAGAGGTATGTTCAGGGTGTGCCTGGAGATCAGAAACATTCTAACTTTTCATTTCTTGAAGATTCAACAAGGATTTAAATGTTTAGTCTATTTGTCCAAATATAAAATCGTCATTAGTAGACAATCCTCTTAAGAAGTTGACAAATAATTTTGAACAACATCTCCCAAATACTGAATGCCAACAGTGTTTTTGATTTGTTTTATGCCTCAATGTTCTTCGTGTTCAGCGGCCACTAAATGGCGGACCGCGGTCTGCGAACGGTCCCCAGCAGTGCTGCCGCCCGGCCCGCCAGCCCGCAATGACAGATCCACCGCTGAGCAGGGCGGTTGGCACAGCAACATGACATCACATGTGTGCCCTGCCCCTTTCAGCTGTCTCTCCAGCTCCCGCTCCCTGCCTGTACACAAGCGTCCAGCAAGGATCCCGGCACAGCTCCTGTCTGCCCTCAAGGTAGGGTGTAGTCTTACAGGGGCAGTCTGATGGGCACATTGAATGTTAAGGGGCACTCTGATGGGAACAACATAGAATGTGCCCATCAGCATGCCCCTTATTTTATGTTAAGGGGCACTCTGATGGGCCCATTTTATGTTCAGGGGGCACAAATGGGCACGTGATGGAAAGGGGCACTCTCATGGGCGCATGTGATGGAAAGGGGCACTCTGATGGGCGCATGTGATGGAAAGGGGCACTCTGATGGGCACACGTGATGGAACGGGGCACTCTGATGGGCGCATGTGATGGAAAGGGGCACTCTGATGGGCGCATGTGATGGAAAGGGGCACTCTGATGGGCACATGTGATGGAAAGGGGCACTTTGATGGGCACATGTGATGGAAAGGGGCACTCTGATGGGCACGTGATGGAAAGGGGCACTCTGATGGGTGCATGTGATGGAAAGGGGCACTCTAATATGCTCAAGTGATGGAAAGGGGCACTCTGATGGGGAATATGATGGAAAGGGGCACTCTGATGGGCACATGTGATAGAAAGGGGCACTCTGATGGGCACATGGGATGCAAATGGGAACTCTGATGGGGAATATGATGCAAAGGGGCACTCTGATGGGGAATATGATGCAAAGGGGTACTTTGCATGTAAGGGGGCACTCTGACGGGAATACCTGATGTAAGGTGGCAATGTGATGGGAATACATGATGTAAAAGGGGCACTCTGATGGGGACAACTGATGTAATGGGAATACATGATATAAAGTTGAACTCTGCTGGCAACACCTAATGTAAGGGGGCACACTGATGGGCACACCCAATTCAGAAGATAATTTTAGTGACCGGACCTCCTTGAATTTAAATTCAATATCCCTGTTCTAGGTCATTGAATTTTCTTTGAATATTTGTTGACCCTATTTGTTGACTCTTCCTAAGACAAGACAGTGTAGAGTTATTCACCCTTAGGTCATCACAGAGGACAAGGGGGCACTCTTTACGTCTGGAGGAAAAGGTATCACCATGAACGCTATAGCGAGAGCAATAATTCTAGCACTAGACCTCCTCTAACTCTAAAATGAAA